GTGTTGACAACACCAAGTCTGCATTTTTTCTGCGTCTTCTCCTAGGAGACGGACTATATCATCGTCAACATGTTCTAAGTCAACCAGACTATTCTCTCGTGGTAACAAGTCAGTTAGTGTTAAATCCAATAACAAATGCATCTACGATGAAACTAAGGAGAAATGGGTACAACGATAATCCCTGATGCACACCAACACTGGTTGTCATCACAATTTTCAGATGACAACTTTCCGTAGGATCACACCTGACTGACTGCATGAGTTCGAGTATAGTGGGTGCCTTGATCAGGGCGATGTATTTTCTCCCAATACACCACACACTACACCACGTTGATAACACCTCTCCTCATCCGATCACCTAGGGCGCCGGAGTAAAGAAGGAAGTTTGAGTGTGAGATTAACACCCCTATTCTGTAAGAAAAATACAACTACTTCCTAGGGAAACACTTAAAAGCGTAAGCTTGAAGCCGACAACTTCGTCGTTCCATCTGACAGAAGACATCAAAACCACTAATCTGTACATTTCTCTCCATCCTTAATGGCTACATACCCATGAGTTAGGCATTGAGCGAATTTCTGTCCACCACCACCTGTCCACACGTCCATTGATGGACAGATATCTGCGTCAAAGATGACACAAAATAGAAAATAGTGAATGTACCTTCTGCATCCATGTTGAGGTCTTGTCTCAACTGTCACTGGTGATGAGAAAAACAGAATTAATCACCTTTCTTCCAAGGAGAGAGTGCCAATCAATTAAATTATGAAGCTATATGGATGAGTAGTCACTAACTTCCTCGACGCGAAATGTTAGATGTCACAGCTTTACATTGGAACACAGGTAGTGGTGGTGTTTAAACCAAAACATGGTCAGTCAATGAAATCCACAACATTTATACTTTGAGCTAGAAACGTAGAGAAGTGTACACTACTTGTCTAGTTGGAGTCTACTGGATTCTAAGAACCATCGATGGATGGTTGGAGTAGATGCATTCCCCTTCTAGGATCTCAAATATCTGTTCATTATCGTTTTGTCAAATCTATTCTGTCTGCCTTTGTATAGTACATCAAGTGTGTCAAGTCGATGTGGGGTACATTTGCGTGTGTACAAAGTTCTATGCTGAAACCAGTCAGTGAGTCGCCTAACTTTCCAGTCCTCAAAAACTGTCAAACTCTCGGCACCAGTATTACACAACATCATCATCTTACATTTGACACCAGAGAATCCCATAACCAAACACATTACAACGTTTTGCTCAGGGTGTTGTTCACATGACTCCACATTCCACATGCATCAAATCTTATCCGAAGGACTTTAGTTCAAACCTACTTGAAGTCACCTACACAGTCACACACATACACACACACACACCTCTCCAATCTGTCTACGTACGTCTATCTACTTTTGAGTCAATTAACTGAGAATGGTAAATAACCGTGATATAGACATCAATTTCATAATACACACGTCATCATTGACTTGGACATCTTGTTACTAACATCTATTAGTTAATTGATACTTTTGATGGCCTTTAACCTCTTCATTCCACCACACACACACACACACACACACACACACTCTCAGCCTATACATAAAACTGATTCACTAGAAAAAACCACTTGAATGATAAAAACAATTCTGATGTAGAAAAACGACTATATATTAGTGTAGAGCCAGCCAGCCAGTCAGACGATGATGATGATGAGGGACCGTTAACTGAAGTGAAGGAATGCATGATTTCTTCGTTCATTCAATCTGTTGTCACTTTTCTGAATTCGTAAGTGGGAATTTGGAAATTACGTATATTAGATCTGTTCATTGTTCGTCATCGATGACTCACAATCTATAGTATCTGTCTATCAAACAAACGACAATGGATGACCTTTGGAACATGACATTGCAGACAATCAGAATCCAGTTGGGAGTAGGAAAATCTACTTTATTTATGTTTACGAGTTTGACCATGGATTGATATCAGTTAGAGAACCATTGAAAACCTAGAAGTACTGGACACCTTTCTCGCCAGCCTAGTTTGGGAACCATCGATAGAACGCACCCACCCATCACAATGGGGGTTCGAACCCAGGGCCTTCCGTTTAAAAGGAAAGCTAGCTCGTAGACCCTTCAGTCACTCTCACTGGGACCCACCCGATTCACCGACCAGTCAACTAGGGCATGAATTCTAACTTCTACCAATTCGACCTCGTTGAAGCCACCCCCATGTTCCAGTTGGAACCCACAGTTATAATTAATAATAATATGCTTTCAATGAATATGTAATAACGCTCAGAATATTTAACAGGATTATGCGAACACAATATACCCCCACTATTTTCGATGCACACACACACACACACACAACTGGATTCGCTCAAACTTCAGTGCAAATATTCGATAGTCACTTATTTGAGGTCACTCACTAACTTACACATGCGTTCAAAATGTGACAAACAATAAATATGCATAATGTTACCCCGTTTAATTAATTACAGTTTACATACCGGATTAAGCTGTTAACACCTAACCACTTCTCAGATATGCTTAAGGTTTTATTCACATATTAGAATTTGTTTAAAGATAGTTAACTCTACTTATAACTGAACCTTAACTATCGATTTCAGTACTTTGCATAAAAGTGTATCACATTTTTAGTTGCTACACTTCTCGAAAAGCATAACTAACTAACTAACTAACTGACTGACTGACTGACTGATGGTTTCAACGTACAAATTTGTACAGATACGCAGGAGCACTTCAAGTTGCCACACTCCCCGCGTATGTAGGACACAAAGCAGGACATGAGAGTAAAAAGAGATTCAGAAGAGACGGGGAGATAATAAACAGACGTGCCAAGACAAACATCAGTAATATGGAAGAAAAGTACAGTTTCCCTCGATATGATAAATCACAAGGAGTGAATGCATCTGCACCAGCCAGCCATCAACAAGAACGACTTTGAACCAGCCATATCACCCACTATCTTCAGCCTTCATTGGTTTTCACCATACTGTCTGGCTTAAACTAACTCGTGTGGATTTCATTGACTGATGATGAAGTCATGCTTTCGTTTGAACACCATCGCCACCACTAGCTAACACCTCTCCAACCTCATTCATCGTATGTCAGTGGCTAACATCGCCCCGCCCCGACCATTGGTAAAGAAAGGCGATGGCTGGTCAAGCATGGACGCATAACACACGTGCTAACCACCTCTCTCAATCCATGTAACTGCTTCACAACCTCGTCAATTGATTTCCCCCTCTTCCTTCTTCATTTCTTACCCAGCACTCGACCGATGCCTCACTTCAATATTGCTCGCTCACTCTGTTACACCTACCACCTAACGCGAGAGATAGAACGCAGACACCTATGATCAAACACAGCCACCTAACCTTTTCATGTTTTCCACTTTAAATGGCCATATCAGTCAGACAGCGAGCCAGCCATAAAGGAGGACAGCGCAAACTGCTGATCAGTGGACGCGTCTTTTTGGTCGACAGCCAGGCGGATATCATGTCTACTAGGCAAGAAATTGCGTTAGTTGCCATCTGCCACGGCCAACTACTTCACTCCTGTCCATCTGTACGCTAAGAGTGAATCCATGCAGTTGAATCCTGTAACATTCATCATCTTACATTTGACAAAAGGAGCGAATCGCATGCCAAACATTCGAAGATTGCTGCTCCTCCTCAAAGTGTTGACAACACCAAGTCTGCATTTTTTCTGCGTCTTCTCCTAGGAGACGGACTATATCATCGTCAACATGTTCTAAGTCAACCAGACTATTCTCTGGTGGTAACAAGTCAGTTAGTGTTAAATCCAATAACAAATGCATCTACGATGAAACTAAGGAGAAATGGGTACAACGATCATCCCTGATGCACACCAACACTGGTTGTCATCACAATTTTCAGATGACAACTTTCCGTAGGATCACACCTGACTGACTGCATGAGTTCGAGTATAGTGGGTGCCTATACATAAAACTGATTCACTAGAAAAAACCACTTGAATGATAAAAACAATTCTGATGTAGAAAAACGACTATATATTAGTGTAGAGCCAGCCAGCCAGTCAGACGATGATGATGATGAGGGACCGTTAACTGAAGTGAAGGAATGCATGATTTCTTCGTTCATTCAATCTGTTGTCTTGTTTCTGAAGTCTTCTACTCCAACAACGAGAAAAAAAAACAACCAGCACCAGTCATCATCAACGAGAGAGATTTAACAGAGGTTACCTCCTTCACATATCGAGGTAGGAAGGATTGTTTCAACTACAGGCAGTCGGAACGGATGAAGACGTCAACGCCAGTCAGAATCGGAAATACAAAATATGCCTACATCAACCTGAAATGAGTTGGGAAATCTTCTACACTGCATTTCGCCTCAGCATATACAATGAGATTCGGATTTTCACCACCAACGTCAAGTTGGTAAGTTCTTCTAGACGGGTCAGAAACTTTCACTGCGCGTGTGTCGAAAAAATATCTCCAACAGACCTTTGCAGGCTTTTATCAACAGCTGCCAACTCGACGGCTGGCTGGTTCCATAGTGAAGATCAAATGGTCTGGCAGAAAGAATCAGCAACAAGAAACTCAGAAGTGGAACTTACCAAACAGGAACCGATTGCTCGACAAATATGCAAAAGAAAGTGGACATTAATTGGGCATACGTCGAGGAGGCCACCGAATGACACCTCGCGCAATGCAGGCCATTCGTCACTCAAGTGGAATCCAAATGGGAAGCGACGGACGAGTGGGTAGCCCGTGTAAGAGTGACAAGGAGGGGAGGACGTGTAGGGAGTTGGAGGAGGAGATGAGGGATTGTGGATAATCGTGGAGCAGCTAGCAGGCTGAAGAGGCTGACAAAAAACAGAACAAAGTGGAGATATGTTGTTGAAGCCAGCCACCCTATGTTTTACTGGGAACCCAAGGGAATATATATATATATATATATATATATATATATATATATATATATATACAGACGCAACTTACTTTAAATCATATACAGATCCTCTAAACGGTCGAGTAGATAAACGTTTCGATTCTTCGGTATGCGGTAATTCTGTAACTGACAGTCGCCAGTGTATATCACGTACAATAGCAGGCACACTTGTTTTCATTCCATCGACAATGCACCAACCAGCCTAGTCAATCAATAAAAGAAGAAAGAGAAGAATTGAAGGGGGCGGAAAGATTTGATATTGGTAGAATAAGCAATTTTTGATTCTCGTGTGCACCTATAGAGGAGTAGTTAGTGGTGGGCGACCATAGGGACACACTTGGTTGAGCAATGTTTATTTGCAATTCGGTATCTTTATATATTATGGGGAAATTATGTACACTTTTACCTAACTGAGAAGCATCGTTTCAACTCTCCAGGCAGACAGAACTAATGAGGATAGCATCATAGCATTGCATGAGTATAGGAAGGCAAGGAAAGCTTCATTACTATCATCAAGTCTATGTGGAGATCATAACTCAGCATTCAGCATGAAAAATAAGATCCGGATTTTTAACTCCAATGTGAAGTCAGTGCTAATATATACAGGTCAGAGGCTTGGCGACGTGTCGCGTCACACGGAAGGCACTTCGAACAAACTACACACCTTCATCAACAGCTCTCTTCCCTCAATACTTCGCTCGCTCAACATCACATAGCCCCAGACAGAAAACATCACCAACAAGAGAAGGGATCTCTGACAATCAACGGACCAACGAAACAACCCAACACAAACCAGCACGAATCAATTGGGTGCAACAAATATGCAGGAAGAAATCGTGGTCGACTGGATTGTAGCCATACTTTGAGAAAACACACCAAGTGACTAGTGACATCACAAGCCAGACTGTCTCTCTCTCTCTCTCTCTCGAGATGTGTTGAGTGGAATCCGAATGGGAGGGAAGCGGCGAGTTAGTTGGTCATGAGTGAGTGAGAGGGTGAAATGGAGGAGGTGGAGGAGGATGAGGTGATTCGGAGAGGAAATGAAAGCATATGGGCAGACGTGGAGTGAGGTGGGAAAAAGTTAGCAGAGAGCCCCGAAAGTAATGGAGACGTGAGACTGAAGTACTATGTTCCTCTAGGAACTAAAAGAAACAATAATAGTATAATAATAATAATACCTTCAACGCACCATTTTGCACAAATCTTCCGTGTTGTTAAGGTACTTTTGCCCTTCCTTCTTATAGTGTTCCTTTGTGTGCCTTTCACGTCTCTAATGTATCTCCCTGCCATTTGATGTTTTTATGCCAATTAACGTCTCTTTGTATACTACTACCACTACTACTAATAAATCTTATCAGTAGCACACACACTTCAACAGAAGTTGGTTTATTCGACGAGTAATGCAGAAACACATATAGGTAAGTGATGAATAAGATGAAAGCATTTAAAGTTGAAGTAAAATTAGGTGAGGGTTGAGATCAACGAGAAGACTTTGGCAGATATGAACTTCATGGAAGATTTATGTGCCTCAGATCGTATAAATACGAAGACTTTTAAGCGAAAATCAACTAACTAGTTGTTAGAAGAAGCACAGGCAGCAAAGACAAAACTTTAAGTAAAAATAGAAAAGATGGAAGTGATGAAGATAACCAACCAACTACCAAAAGCAACAATAACTAGCACCAATCACCATCACATCAGCGGGGAGATCTGAAAGAGGTTACTTCCTGTTTTCACTTATTTAGCCTAGGCTGCAGCATCGTTTCAACCACAGGTAGTCGGAACGGATGAAGACGTGAAAACCAGCTAGAATTGGGATCACAGGATACGCCTCCATCATCAACCTGAAATCAGTTTGGAAATCTCCACTGCACTCCGCCTCAGCATAAACAACAAGATTTCGGATTTTCAACACCGATGTCAAGTCGGTCAGTGCTTCTACATGGGTCAGAACCTTACACTGAGTGTAAGTCACAAAAAGCATTTCCAATAGCCTGCTGCAGAATTTTATCAAAAGCTGCCACCTTCGATGGCTGGCTGGCTTGATCCATACTGAAGATCAAATGGCCATCCGGATGACCAGCAACAAGAAGCTCTGGTTGGGAACGAATCAACGTGTGAGGGCCGATTGCTCAACAAATATGTAGGAGGAAATTGAGATAGATTGATTAGGCATACGTTGAGGAGGCCATCAATCCAATGGAATCTGAATGGAGGAAGCGATGGACGAGTGAGTGTTAGGCGCTATTGTGATATGGAGGAGATCGCGTGAGTTGAAGTGGGAGGAGATGAGAGATTATGGGGAATCATGGAGTTAATTGAAGGGGACAGCGGAGAATAGAAGAAAGTGGAGATGTATTGTTGAAGTTCGTCCTAAGTTCACTCAGAACCCAAGAGATTAATAATAATAATAATTCAAAAGATATAATGCAGAAGGTTGAGCTGACATAGCATGACATAGCGCGACTGGACCTAGCCAATGTCTTCTTCGCTGAGTAACTGTCCTCACACACACCTTCAACCTGCTATACCCTACTGGTCACGCCTTCCTGCTAGAACCCCAGGTAACTAACTGCCTAACTGAATAAGACCAGTCGCTAGTAAGTTTCAAATCAATTTTCAAGTACACCCACGCACCAGTGGGTGCGTACTGCTGAAGGATGGAGGAACAGCTGACTGTTTGACCACCTATAGCAGGTTTTCTAATGATTGTCTGACCGCCAACCGATGTCAATGCTTATGATGAAATCCTCCAGCCAATCAATACTTCAGAAAAGAAAAGCCCAATGAAGCTGTATACCATCAATGAATGTATACATGTAGGGAGACAGAAAGAGAGATAGGAAGGGAGAGAGAGTGAGTGAGTGAGAGAACTTACTTTCCAATTGAAGTCTATCACTTCATTGATGTCAATGTCTTCATCATTCTCTCCCATAGGGTTAACCAAAGTTTCAGCAACCTATATAAATAGATATATATATATGAAATAAATTAATCAATAAAGACATGTTCACATTCAATCAATCAATCGAACAATGAGTAATTGACTCAACACACACACACACACACACATAGGAACAATTATAACGAAAACTAATCAACAACAACAACACCAAAAAAACACCTGGAAAAACTTGATATATGCCACAAACAGAGAGAAACATCCACCAGGTTAGATTGTGTTACGTGATCAAGTTTTTTTACTAAATGTAACAAAACACTCTACACACACATACACATACACACAAAGAAACTGAAAGTTTAAGATAAAAATGAAATCGAAAATCATCTCGTTAACAAACAATCACACACACACACACACAGTTAGCTGCTCTAGGTGTTCTGAATTAACAGCGACTACTTCCCATTCAATCAGATGGCAATTATGTGATGCTGATGATGATTATGATATTGTGTTAGGAATAGGATATCTTTTTTAATTCATGAAATAACCTCCATTTGAACATGAATGGAGAGAGGAAGAGAGAAGACTAGTAAGTAGTTCAGCGAAGAGTCATTCATCACTCAGTTGTTCAATCGCAAGTTTTTATTTATACGCATATATGGGTTATTTTGTATGTGAGTGTGTGTGTGTGTACATTAAATCTGTCAAAAGAAAATACAATTAGAAGTGATTTGAACATAGCAAAACAACAATTGTACCAGGATAATACGAGCTCATCTTTTATTATTTCGAGGATTCTTCTCAACTGGTTACAACCTGAATGTTAAAAAATATGAATTACAATAAAGATATGAACATACTTTTCCACGATCATAAGGAGTAATTGGTAGGAATTAAAAGTAACATTAGTCCGAAATGATTTAACTGATTAGGAGTTACAAACATTGACTACTTATAGAATAATTAGACAATTAGGCTGAAAGACACATTCCAGTTCGCTAAACAATTAGAGAATCTGAATATCTCAAATAAATTTATGGTGTCCTTTGACGTGTCTTCACTGTTTACATTGGAGGAAACAATACAAATTATATGTTAACATGCCGAACTTCTTCCTCTGCCCAAGAACGAACTCAAACAATTTTTACTTATGTGTACCAAAGACGTACAGTTCCAGTTCAACAACACTCTATACCGCCAAATTGACGGAGTCGCCATGGGAAGCCCCCTGGGTGCGATTCTGGCAGATATTTTTATGGGTAGTCTAGAACAAACAAGGTTAAAATCCTCAATCAGCCAGACAAACTTCTATACCAGGTATGTCGATGACACCTTCGTTATTTGTAATTCTTTCAATGATGCATCTCAAGTATTAGAAGTCTTGAACAGCACCTACCGTAATATTAAGTTTACAATGGAGTATGAAAAAGAAGAGAAGTTCCATTTCCTGGACTTGGGTATCCAACGAGATAAAGACGGCAAAATCATAAGATATGTACACAGAAAAGAGACCTGAAGGGCGGTTTATCTTAACTTCAAAAGCTTCTGCCCTATAAGTTACAAAAAACGATTGATGAGAACATTATTTGATCGTGTGAGGAAACTGTCTTCAAAAGAAAAGATTGAGGAAGAGCTATCCATTGTGGAGAAATGCCTACGCGACAACGGTTACCCACAAAGGTTCATCGGCATGTATGGGAGACATCATGTTGAAGAAGTGAAAAGCAGAACAGTAGATAAAAAGCCTATCTTTCTGCAGCTTGCATTCAAAGGTGATGATACTGCTAGTAGAATAAAATGCAGACTGAACGCTGCCATGAAGAGAACATATCCAACCACCAAACTTGTATGTGTTTATCAAACAACTAGTTGTTTGAGACAATCAAAAGTGGACAAATACCCACCTCATGTTACCTCCAACTGTGTCTACCAATTTACATGTACGTACCAAAGCACATACGTTGGAAGAACAGAGAGAAGGGTTAGTGTCCGCATTTATGAACACATACCAAAGAACCTGAGGCGGAAACGTCCGCAAGCACTAAAAAGTGCTATTGCTCATCATCTATTGGACACTGGTCATATTGTAGACAACCTGAAGTCGTTTAAAATAATCAGCAAGCAAAAGAAACCTAGCTTGCTACGCTTTGCTGAAGCGATTACCATCAAACAACTTAAACCAAATCCATGTACGCAGAAAGAGACAGTGGTGAATCTTGCAATGCCCTGGTGATAACAAAAAAAATATAAAACTTTCATGAGTCACCTTTCTCATGTTTAGAAAACTCTACTCTCTCATCTAAACATGACTCACCCTACCCTTGTTTCTTTTCTTTCCTTTTTTCTATTGGCTATTAGATAAGATGCTTTCTTTAGTTACGTAATCTACTTTTTGTTATGCTCTTTCTAGCTAAACCTTGTTTCTACATATATATATGTATACAACCCTGTTTTTTTTTGTTTCCAAGCCTAATTGTCTAATTATTCTATAAGTAGTCAGTGTTTGTAACTCCTAATCAGTTAAATCATTTCGGACTAATGTTACTTTTAATTCCTACCAATTACTCCTTATGATCGTGGAAAAGTATGTTCATATCTTTATTGTAATTCATATTTTTTAACGTTCAGGTTGTAACCAGTTGAAAAGAATCCTCGAAATTTCATACATTTGGTTCCCTTGATAAATTTTGATAGAGAAAGAAAGACCAGATTTGCAGTATAAAATGATATCATTCTATTTGACAGGTTCTCATCAGCTGCAAACTACCTGAAATTACAATGGTTATAAATAATAACATTTCATACTTCATTGTTTGAAAGGTAATAGAGAAAACATTATAAGGTGAACGCATCTGGAATATAAGTATTATAATCTAAGTCAATCACCATCAATTTATATGTTATCAAACTATGAAAGAAGAAAAAAAAGGGGGGTGAGAGAAGACAGAAAACAGAAAAATCCAATAAACAGTGTCAGCATAGCAACTCAATAAGGTCAAGGTTCATCAATCTGAAAACTTGCTTAGTGAGCTCAGCTCACTAGTGTGTATGACTAATCAGTGTAATGAAAGTGATGTGGTTACCAAGGGAGTGAGAGATTGACCACACTCTCTTTCTGTATGCATAAGTTTGGTCTGTGACGTTTGATTGCAATTGCTTCAGCAAATCGTAGTAGATTCGCTGTCCTTTGTATGTATCATTGTTGAGAACCGCGCGCAATTTTAACGGTTCCGCGTGACCAAAGGTCACATTTGTGCGTCGTGGCACAGTGGTTAGGACTCTCGCCGACTATGCACATGGTCCGGGTTCGAGCCCACGCCGGCGCACACCTGATATCTATGGTCGGCCTGCAAAATTTGGGCTACCGATATCCACGCTGAAATTCCATACTTGTACCAAAAATACAGTATGGAATCAAGCTGTAAATCAAAAAAAAAAAAAATGTTTAATATTTTGAAGGATTTAGAAATCTCGACAAAATGACCCATATCCACAAGGTGTCTGGTAATTGAAATTTTGTAAATATTTGCTTCCTTTTAGGCATAAGTTTCTTGGAATATGCCCTGAAAACCGGATAGAAACCCTTCTTTCTGTCCTTCCAATGTACTTGCTGCCGCACGTACACGTAAATTTATAAATGCAGTTGGAGGTAACATCAGCAGGGTACTTATCCAGTTTTGATTGCCTTATGGAGCACGTAGTACTGTATAGTGTCACCAAACTGGCTGCAGGGAAGCATCTCTTTATTGCTCCCTTCATCCTCTTTTCAATCTTTTGCGATACGGTTTCTCCTTTGTATGGGATGCAAATGAACACTTTCTTCTTCTCAACTGTTGGAGATTTCTCTTTCTCATCTCTTTCTTTGCTGTACTTTAGGATAAATCCTTTTGGATACCCGTTTTCTTCAAGGCATTTTTCGACAAAGCTTAATTCTTCTTCTACTTTGTTAGGCGAACATAACTTTCTGGCCCTATCGTAAAGTGTTCTCACTAATCCCCGCTTGTAGCTCATAGGGCAGAAGCTGTTATAATGAAGGTATTGTCCGGTCCAAGTTTCTTTCCTGTAGATGGACTTTTCGACCGTTCCATCGCTTCTTCTTTTTACATTTAGGTCCAGGAAATTAAACTCATCGTTGTGTTCGTATTCCATGGTGAATTTAATAATAATAATAAAAGATGAGCTCGTATTATCCTGGTACAATTGTTGTTTTTGCTTTGTTCAAGTTTATTAATGGGAAGAATTGCATGAAGTTTTTAGAAGTGATTTGATGAATGGTGACTAGCAATGGAATCCATCCAGGAGATAATTAGCATTTCGTCCTATATAGGACGCGTCCTCCAGCTGGACGTGTACCTGCATTCCCTCTCCTAAGTGAGTTGTTATTGATGATGCATATTCTCACCACAAATAGTTGAACTCAGTGCCCATAGTTTTAAACACCAACCAGAGTGTTAGCCACTGGACTACATGCGCCACAAGAGAGCCATATTATTAATTAAGTAAGTTTTTTGGGGTGAAGTTACGTAATACAAAAAAGCGTTCAGAGGAATTCGATGGATGTTGATGATGTAAGTGATGCGTTGTCATAAACGATTGTTTAAAAAAGAGTTGTGCTCAGGGTGAACATGGAAACCAAAAATCAAATACCGAATTACGTGTAAGAGTTTAAAGTAGTTCAAAAACATGACAAGCAAAGAAGCAAAAGTTGAGTCCAATCAACAGAGTTGTTACCATGATTGTAGAAGTGGTTGAATAATTTTCTTTTGTATGCATAGTTCTGGTTCGTATAACTGAATGGCTAGCGCTTCTGAAATGCAAAGAAGACGGTTGTTCTTTAATTTGCAGATTACTGTGAAGCAGGAGGCGTTTGTTGTTAAGATGGAATGACCAGTGGCGACGAGATGTTCGATTACTGCACTCCTTATACGACCACTACTTCCTTTCTGTAGCCACGCTGGATAGTGTTCTTTGACCCTTTTTGATAGAATGCGAGTCGAAAGACCGATGTACCTGGTTGGCTCCACAGCAACAGGTGAACGGATATATTCACATAC